CTGATGCCCTGAATTTGGACTTGTAGCCTACTGGACTGTGAGAGAATAAACTTCTCTTTGTTAAAGCCATCCACTTGTGGTATTTCTGGTAGAGCAGTACCAGATGACCAAGACACCACCCATCACAGCCACAGGTCACTGTCACTCAGCTCCACCATGGTGAGACTTCCTACAATGGTCCACTGCTCAGCTGTTCTGTTTGAGCTGCCCACATGAAAGCAGTCACCTTGTATTTGACCTTCGACTCTCCATGAGGTATCTGATTCCGCCTGCTGCCACTACTTAGAACGCTATCACCACTTCCAGAACTCCTCTATTACGTTAATGCCAACTACATCGGACCTCCATACAGAAAACACTTTACTCAGGCCACCAACACAGTGCTGCAAACCTACTCTTGAACTCCAAAGCTTTTTAGGGCATCTGTTCTCCTGGTTACTACCACTGAGACCTTATCATTCCTCTGCCAATGGATCTCTGAGGCCCCTTTCTCTTCAGCCAATCAAGAAATGCCTTCCCCTTACATGTTACACTCTGTGCATGAAGGGTGGGGGTGTTTAGAGTGGAGCCGTTTAGATCCATAAGTGATACAGTTTTTCAGTTTTACCACACAATCCTTTCTTTCTTAGAGAACATAATAAGCAATTAACAAATATTTATTGAGCAGATGTGTGAGTAAATGAATGAATGAACTGGTGTTATTTAGTATGTGAAGCCCAGCTCCTTCTATGTCAGGACCAATGGGTCAGACTCCTTCCTCACTTAAGGTCATTTTTGTTCTTTCAAAAACTTTATTACCATAAGGCCCCCACTGGTATGCTCATCTCCTTTGCACACTCCATCAGATACGTCTAAAACACCATTATGGAAAAGTCCAAGTTGGTTCTCATGGTATTCCTACACACCATTCAAGTCAAGGAATGTGATCACAGATACCAACAAGAGAAGAATGAGGTGAGGTAAGGTATCAGTTAATTTAATTCTAAACATTGGCATATCTGAGCCTCAGCTCAAGACCCATATATTTATTTAACAAGGCCTACTGGGTACCTGTAAGATACTAATTATGTGTGATCCCAAGTCCAAAAGCAAACAAGAAAACTGTGAATTGTGAGTTTAACCAAAACAATTTTTCCAACTGTTTTCTAAAAATACTCACTTGTAGATGTTTTACATTGTCAACTGCGAGAACCATCACTTCACTCTCCTGAAACACAACATCTATTTCTTGCTTTAACACTGTTACAGAGTTCTTACATACTTTCTTTGTCTCCCAGAGCTGTTTAAGAGATAAAGAAACTAAAATAAGATCACTGTATGTTATCAAAACATTCTCTGAAATAATGCAACGACAAATCTTAATCTTAAAGCAAGATACAAACCATACTTCACAATCAAAATGCTGGAAAATTTTCAATTATTAGATTACAATTCAATAAATATTTATTAACACATTCTATAGTAAGAAGCAGTAATAAGAGTTATGGGCTCTCCATCCCAAATGTCTCCATATGAAACCTAGTTCTACCTAAAGCTGTCACTTTGGGCAGGTGACTTAACACAATACTACTGAAAGCTAAAGACCTGCTCCTGATTCTCAAACTGATACTGGTCCACAAGAAGATAAGGAGCCTGTGCCAGAATGTAAATCAAATACACTGTTACAATGTTACAGTGTGCTTAGTGATACAGTTGATTTTTTTTAACAAGACTTTCTTGATGAAGGAAGCAGCGTGCTGATTTACATTATGGCTCAAGCTCATTGAGAATGGCACTTTAAGTAGCACTGACTTAACCTTTCTGTGCCTCTTTCCTCAGCTATAGAAAGGACTGTGATAATTAGTAAATTAGTACATGTACAGCACTTTGCACAAATGTTTGACATACAATAAGTACATAAAAAATTTTAGCTACTAGCTACAATTTGTACAAAACACTATATTAGATGCTACAGGGACCAACCAGGGTTCCTGCTCTCAATGAGTAAGATGTAAGTGTGAAAAAGTCAGATGAGCTGTGAAGCACTGGACCTAAGGATTAAATAAAAACTGTATTAAATTCAAGGCAGAATTTGATGAGCACCATAAGAAAATGACATAGAGTTATATGGCATTAAAGGGGAGAGACACTGAGACATTACCCCAAATGGAATATTAGGAAAGGCTTCACAGAAGGCCTGATGGGCCTTGTAGGATAGTTGGGATTTCAACAAGGAGAGATACAGGAAAGTAGGGTATTCTGAACATAAGAAACCATATAAGCAAAAGTACAGAAGAGAACTATAAGGTGTTTGGGAAAATATGAGCAGTTTAGCATAGGTAGCCTATAGGAAACTGGAAGAAAAGACTGGGAACTGAAGGAGGCCATACTATATAGAAATTTAAATGGTAGACTTAGGAGTATATATTTACTTTTGTAGGCAACAGGGAGCCACTGTCTATTTTTGAGCAAAAATACCACGATTGTATTGTATATTAGGAAAATATCTTGGAAGCAGCACGTCTAATAATTAACAAGTCAAAAAAGACTTGTGGCAGAGACTAACACAACAATACAGGCAACAGGTAATGATGAGGGCCTGAACTTGGGCAGCAAGGTAGAGATACATGATTGATGATGCACAGACATAATCTATTAGAACTGGCAAGTAACTGGATATGAGGATTCAAAGTAGAGGAAAGAGTCAAAAATTACTCTGAAGAATCAAATGTAATATATTTAAATTAACCAAAATGCATTTTAGTCAATGGACTTCTCCAGCACCTGGCCCATGGTAATATTCAAGAAACATGTATTGAACAAACGAGACTATTATATTCCATACCATAGCACTTTTTCAGGTGAATATGAACACAGCATTTCTTGTTTTAATTCCCCCAATGCAGCCCATCAATGTCTTAGTTTGGAGGAGATTTAACACACTATTAGAAAATGGTTAAAATGAAAATTTCAGTATTTCTTACCCTGATTGTCTGGTCATCAGAAGATGTCAAAAATGATGATCCATCAGGAGAAAACATCACAGAATGAACCCAACTTAAATGTCCTCTGCAGTCAGCTACTTTTAAACACGGGTCTATATTCCACAACTACAGAATAAACACAGTACATAGGAAATCACATTCATAAACATTTTGAATATAGCAAGAATACTGAAAATAGCAAGAATGACTTAGCAATACCCCTTTCTAGGAATATAGTCCAAAAAAGACACTAGCAAAAATACAAAATGACTTACACAGAAGATTATTCATTACATCATTATTTTTAGTAACAAAAAAATGAGAAACAATCCAAATGACCATCAAGAAGGAACTGTCTGAATAAACTACAGTGATTACAACTATGTACTTGCATAATAAAATACTATGCAGTCATACAAAGGAATGAGAAAAATCTTTATACACTAATAATAAGTAATCTCTCAGATTATCTTAATAGAAAAAAAGCAAAGTGCAGAAGAGTATACATATTATAAAAACCAAAAACACTAACCCATTGCCGTCGAGTCAATTCCGACTCATTAGCAACCCTAGAGGACGGAGCAGAACTGCCCCACAGGGTTTCCAAGGAGCAGCTGGTGGATTTGAACTGCCCATCTTTTTGGTTAGCGCTGAACTCTTAACCACTGTGCCACTAGGGCTCTGTATATACTAAACCTGTTGCCATTGAATTGATCCTGACTCACAGGGGCCCTACAGGACAGAACAGAACTGCCCCATAGGGTTTCCAAGAAGCAGCTGGTGGATTAGAACTACCAACCTTTTGGTTAGCAGCCTGAGCTCTTAACCAATGCTCCACCAGAGCTCCACATATACTATTCTACCTTTTATAAGAGATGGAAATACAACTATGTGATTATACAAATGGTTACAAATATAGCTCTATATGTCTATATATAAATATATAGATATCTGCATATACGTGCAAAAATAAAGAGTGGAAGGTTAAACCAAAACCAAAGAAAAGTTTCCTATGAGGAAGAAGTCCTGGTCGCGTCCTGGTGGTTAAAGCGCTTGGCTGCTAACCAAAATGTCAGTGGTTTGAACCCACCAGCTACTCTGCAGAAGAAAGATGTGGCAGTCTGCTTCCATAAAGATTCAGAGCTTTGGAAACCCTATGGGACAGTTCTACTCCGTCCTACAGGGTGACTGTGAGTCAGAATCGACTCAACGGCAGTGGGTTTCGGTTTTGGTTTATGAGGAAGGTAGAAAAGAGTGGAGGGGATAGGGATAAAAGTGAGACTTCTCTAAATATAACTTCTTATACAGTCTTGACTTTAGAATCATGTGAATGTTTTACTAATTTAAAAAATCAATCTAAAAAAATAGAAGGATAAACATAAGCAGCTTCCATATTCAGACTATTTTCCACTAATCCTGTCATCTAATCCTTATTTCAAGTGACTAAAAACCCCTAAAATAAATGAATGCAATAACTGTAACATGTACACACTTCTTGTTATTCATGCTTATTACAAACTGTCAAAGTCTGTCACCAGCCAGGCTGTACTTTGTCCTGGGTTCTGTTGCAAATTACTCAAATTTATTCTGGTCTAATGAAGTACCATATGTTCCTGAGTTCCTCTCATTACACTATGGATTACAGATTTATTTTATGATTTCAGAACTAGATGAACAAAACAAGTAATTTTTCACAATTTTTCATTCAGTGAGTTCTATGGTTACAAACTAATTATGTGAAATTTTATCTGTTTTATCTCTACAGTCCAAACTGGGGCACAGAGAGCTAAAGACCAGAAATGAAAGTGGTTTACAACTGGAAAACATCCCTTGAAAGCCCTTCCCTCTCTTCCCTCGTTGTTTTCCCCACCTCTCCCTCATCATTTTTTGTCACTCAGAGCCTCCAAAACAGAATCCCTACATGACAGTGCAAATAGTTAATGCACCCACCTGCTAACAGAAAGGCTAGAGGTTTGAGTCTACCCAGAAATGTCTCAGAAGAAAGGCCTAGCAATCTACTTCTGAAAAATCAGCCACTGAAAACCCGGTAAAGTAGTTCTATTCTGACACACATGGGGTCACCATGAGTTGGAACTGACTCAACAGCAACTGGTTTAGGAGTCCCTGTGTGGCATAAACGGTTCAGTACTTGGATACTATCCGAAAAGCTGGAGATTCAAATCTACCCAGAGGCACCATGGAAGAAAGCCTTGGCGATCTACTTCAGAAAAACAAGCCCCAAAAACCCTATGGAGCACAGTTCTACTTTGATATACGTGGGATTGCCAGGAGTTGGAATTAACTCAACAGCAACTAGTTTTTGGTGACATTTCAAGAAGGAAGATATTTCTTGGAGCTTTCTAAGGACAGCAAAGACTAAGGATTTTAGAACTGACAGGAAAGGCTGGAGGCAGAGTAAAGAGGGAGTTACTCCTCCAAACCAAAACCAAAACCAAAAACCAAACCCACTGCCGTCTAGTTGATCCTCACTCAAAAGCAACCCTGTAGAACAGCACAGAACTGCCCTGTGGGGTTTCCAAGGAGCAGATGGTGGATTCGAACTGCCAACCTTTTGGTCAGCAGTTAAGCTCTTAACCACTGAACAACCAGGGCTCTGTTGCTCCTCCACTCCTCCTAAAAATCTTGACAAAACTCAGAAAGAAAAATCCCAGCAACACCCTACCTTTAGGATTTACAGGTATGGTTTTAAGATCTCCTAGCAGATCGAATCTTCCAAGCCTCTGTCTAGAAGAACACCTCCCATAGCACCCTACTTCTTCCCATTGTTTTGAACAGCAATGGAGCTTTTTTATACTCATTGTCTCTGCTTCAGGAGCCCTGGTGGCATAGTGGTTTAAGTGCTCAGCTGCTAACCAAAAGGTTGGCAGTTCAAACCCACCAGCCGCTCTGAGGGAGAAAGATGTGGCAGTCTGCTCCCATAAAGATTGCAGCCTAGGAATCCTATGGGGCAGTTCTACTCTGTCCTATAGGGTCGCTATGAATTGCAATCGACTGGACAGCAGTGGGTTTGGTTTTGATGGGTCTCTGCTTCCACCGGGAAGTTCTTCGGTATTACTGTATGTATCTGTTTTACTTCAAATTAGGAGGCGGCTACAGAGCTCATTCCCTCATTCTCATCTTATCTGTCAATGCTGAAGGGTTATAGCTCAGCAACTCCCCGCCACACCTTCATAGTAAGGCACAAGTTTGGCAACCTCACTAAAAACACCTGAAATATGCACAGAACACTGAAAAAGTGCTTGCAGTAGTCAACGTTCCCTTGAGGAGCAGTCTGTGAACCAAGTAAATTTCCCTATTTTCCAGATAAAGACCCCCACCCATCTTCTTGGAACTGTAATCTCAAGGGGCTTCAAATCACCTGGTGGTAAGACCCACTAAAGGAATGAAAAGCAAGAAAGCTTGGAAAAACTATCATGTTTAAAGAATAAATATCAGAGAATTCATTGCTTTTTGAACAAATTAGAATAGTAATTCACTGGGCAAAATTCTTCCAGGGCAAGTTAGACATAGATTCTGAGTACAAAATCTATCAGGTAAGTGAAAAATTATAAGCAAGTTATTTATAAGCCATTTTATTCGTAAGTGCTTGCCAATGAACATCCTATCTTAACCAATTCTAAATATAATTTCCATTTTATCCTTCTCCATGATCTAAGAAATCTGAACTGGGTCATCTCTCATCATTTCTTTTCCAGAAGACTCTGTGCTTATACTACTTAGGAGATGCCACGTTTCTGCCTAGGAAACTAATGGTCATTCTGTTGTTTCCCCAGACTCCAGCATTGCAAGGCATTCACTAAATGTTTGGTGAATAGTACTGTCATTCCCTGTCACACTGCCAAATCAAGTCTTCAATCACTGTTAAAGTGATAAAGTTGGCTATGTAGTTTAATATAGTTCTTTAGGCTCTGATGAAAACATTCCATCATTTCTCAAAGAAGTATCCTCAGCAGTTAATGGTTTCGGCATCCCATTCTTCGTCATCCTTGTACCTCTGGAGACCCAGACATCACAGAGTAAATTTGATTACTCACCTCCACACAGTACTGAGACAAAGCCACCACTACCAAATGGTTACAAGGAGAGAAGTCACAGTACTGGATGGTACTATGATGTCCTGTGTGGATTTTTGCCAACTGGTCACTGGTATCAATGTCAAAAAGCTGTCAACATAAAATATAGAGATATCTATGAACATAAAATATTCTAAAGCATAAGCTATACCCAAACTGATTCTAAACTTATTTTTAAAAGAATCTCCTCCCATTTCAAATGGAAAACATAAGATTTGAACAAACACTTCAACTACTGATAATCAGCATAATTACTGACAGTCATAAACATGACATAGCTCAATATACATATACTTTTAAAACACTGCTTATCTTGAACCATATTTTTTATAAAAGAAAATCCATCACAGATGATCTCTCAAGATGACCAAGAGAGAAATAAAACCTTGTGAATAAATGAATGAACAAGCCGAATTAACATAAACAGCAAGTTCTCCCTAATGCCTGTTAATTCAAACAACAAAATGCATACTCAAAAGTGAAGATGATCAAAATAATATAGAGCAGAGGCTTGCTAAAATGAAAATAGCTCAATTATTTCTTTTTCTTTCTAGAGCTACCAAATTACTCCATTACAATCAATCATTTCCTCATTTTTGAATAAAAAAAGCTATTTTTGAGTAATTTAAGCCTCTTCATTTCAGTTCCTGAAAGATTATGTTGAATATATACTTTTGAAATTTTTCCCAAATACAAGAACATCTGTACCATTATACAGTATATGGATTTAAGACCAAGTCATAGTCCTCCGGAAGGAAAAAAAAGGCTTCCAGTGGGATCCATAAAGGTGTTTAGTGAAAGCATAGCCCTATGTGCATGCACAGATGGCAAGCAGCACAGGATGGGGCGGGGGGTGGGCAACAACAAAGGACAGGGAATCATAGTTAAAATGCTTCCCAGGACGGGGCATTCTTTTTCATTTGTTTATTCTGGAAGTTTAAGTGAAAGTTTACATTTCAAGTTAGTCTCTTATACAAAAAATTTACACATACATTGTTATGTGACCCTAATTGCTCTCCCTATACTATGACAGCACATTCTTCCTTTCCACCCCTGATTTCCCATGTCCATTCAGCCAGCTCCTAACCCTCTCTACCTTCTCATCTCACTCTGGACTGAAGCTGCCCAGTCTCATGTATCTGCTTGAGCTTGGAAACACACTCTTCATGAGTATCATTTTATGTCCCACAATCCAATCTTTGTCTGAAGAGTTGGCCTTGTAAATTGTTTTAGTTCTCGGCTGATGGAGAGTCCAGGGCCATGCCTTCCAGGGTTCCTCTAGTCTCAGTCAATTAAGTCTGCTTTTCTTACTAGAATTTGAGTTCTGCACCCCACCTTTGTCCTGCTCCATCAGGGGCTCTCTGTTGTGTTCCCTGTCAGGGAGGTCATTGGTGGTAGCTGGGCACCATCTAGATCTTCTGGTCTCAGGCTGATGAACTCTCTGGTTTATGTGGCCCTTTCTGTCACGACGGGTCATTCTTAAAAATTAGTGACTAAAGATGAGAGAAAAAAACCTGGCAAATGCTGAATAGACAGTTGTCCCAATTATCTGGGTAGCAAATAGAAAAGACCTAACTAACGACAGGGGTGGACTAAAAGCACAAAAGAGCTGGAAAGAAATGAGAGAAACCAAAAGAACAATCAAATCCGTTGCCGTCAAGTCAATTCCGACTCATAGTGACCCTACAGGACAGAGTAGAACTGCCCCATAGTTTCCAAGGAGCGCCTAGCAGATTTGAACCACCAACCTTTTGTTTAGCAGCCATAGCGCTTACCCACTACACCACCAAGGTTTCCAAAAATAAAAGAAGGAGGATGGAAAGGCCAAAGAGTAAGAAATTGGAATCTGCATGTAGGTAAGGGTGATCTCAGGGTAGGTATTTTAACATGGTAAAATAGGGAGCTGGTCTACAGACTCTTAAAACAGGAAGGCATTTCACACAATATAAAATTACTTTTCTCTCTCACTAGAACGGGTCTTTTAAAATCTTCAAATACTGCAAATTCAGTGGTTCCTTTTCTGTTTCTACAGACTAATTAAAACTAAGACAAAAGGAGGTCTTTTTTTCTCTTCGTTTCCTGCTAAAGACACATAAGCCTATAATCAACCAAGGTCCAAAGGACATAGCTACTAGATGAATAACAATCATATATACAGTGCCTCAGTGAGTTTTCATATAACTATATTGTATATTCCTATTATGCTCTTTAAAATAGTAGTATCCCTTATTCAAGTCTTTTAAAATTACTATTAAAACAGAATGTCACTGAGCTATGAATGAGAAGACCCAGCTAGCTCTCTCAGTCAAGGTTTAACTTTGGGAAAGTTATTTGGCTGCTCTGAACCTCAGTTTCCTCATTATAATCATAGGACTACTGCAATCTGCTGTGTCCCTTAGATATTGATATCAAAATAAAATATATAAGTGACTTCTGGCAACATGGCGCACTAGGCAGAAATACCAAGCCGTCCCTTCACAGCAAAGATCCGAATAACTAAGCCAAACAGAGAAAACAGCAATCCTGAAAGCCTAAGCAACAAATGAAGAGATAAAGAACTCAGCCAAGCACCAAATAGAATAAGAAACTGACAGAGAACAGAGAGCGAGGAGACATACATGCAGAGGTCCCCTATCAGCTAACGCAGCACGGATCCGACATCTTGGACTCCTATCAGAGACCAGAAAACAGGCGGTTCGAGAAAGCAGCTTTACAAAGCTTCCAGCAGGAGACAGAATAACCGGTAACCAGCAATATACGCTTTCCCACTCCCCACACTTCTTCACCCCCACTCAGCCTCCTCTGCTTCCCGCGTCCATGGTCTCTTGGCTGGCAAGCATGGGCTGCTTGGATTCCACCCACCCGCACTGGCCGACTCCCTGAGTGCCATTTGCTGGCTGCTGGTGTTGCTTTTTTCCACTTCTTTTGATTTCTTCCTTACCTCTCACCACACCTCCCCTCCTTTCACTCAATACCTGGCTCTGTGCACCATCTTTGCTTCTTCCTAAAAGGCTGTGAAACTCCGTTTGAATGTGAAATTGCTTCCCCGTCCGTGCTGCCATGCTGGTGGGATCCCGGGGCTTTTTTGTTTGTTTTGAATTGTTTGTTTGTTTTCTTTTTCTTTTCTCGAATTGGGAGCCCGTTCTAGCCGGACATTACTGCACGGCTTGGGACCTACCCCTCAGCTTCTGCAGACGCGCAGAGGGATCCCTGAGAACATTTCTTTTTTCATGTTTTTTTGGGGGGTTTTCTTGTTCTTTTTTTAAAATGCTTTGTTTTCGTTTCCCTCTTTTCCCCTTTTTGTCTTTCTTCAATACTCAGTTTCTCGTCTCTCTATACCTTCCTTCTCTTCCTGTTCCCTGAATATCTGGCACTCAGTGACATCTCTATGCCTTCTAGCCAGGCCATACTTCAACACCTGGGAACAACTTCCCCAGACCTCGTAGCCGCACTGGTGGGATCCCTGGGAGCTTTGCTTTGCTTTTTTCTTTCTAATTTTTATTTATTCATTCTTTTCTTTTCTTTTTTTTCTTCTTCTTCCCCTTTTTGTTTTTCTCCATTTCATAGTCTCTCATCTCTCCACTCCAACGGCAAGTTCCCTTAGCATTCTTTTTTGTTTGTTTGTATGTTTTTGGCTCCTGTTCCTCTCTCCTCTCTCCCATACCCATCTTAGCTCCACACATCACAGTCTCCCCGCTCCATCCTGCATACCTGCACCATGCGCTTAACATGACACCACCAAGCAGCATAGGCACGGCCTACCGGAACCTGCCCTGCACTGATTACTGGCCCACACTGGTGGCCATAGTAAGTGCCACAAACAACGCATCCCAGCAACTCCTCTTCAGCTAGACCTGCCCTGCTGTACCATATCTGAGTGACTGACCCTGCCAATTGGAGAAGGAGGCTAACATTATCGTGTCCACAGACGAGCAAACAAAACATACAGCCCACCTGCTCAAACATAGCCAAATAAAACAAAAAAACAGGATGAAACAAACAAATCTACAATCAATAATCGAGAAAAATAACTACTGAATGCCCCGAAGACAGCAGACAATATCAAAACATTTACAAAAACAGGACAGGATGGTTCCAGTAGGCATCCAAAATAAAACATCAGATGACTTTCCAGTAGAAGAAAAAGCACTAGAACTACCTGATAGGGAATTCAAATCTCTAAGACTCAGATTTATCCAAGAGTTGAAGGAAAAAGCACACAAAAATGAGGAAAAAATAGACAAATTCATGGAAAAGGCAGACAAATTCATGGAAAATACAGACAAAAAAATGGGAGCATTCAGGAACATAATGTAGGAACAAAATGCCAAAATAAATACACAACTAGAAATCATACAAAAACAACAATTAGAAATCCAAAAGATAAACAAGATTTCAGAAATGGACAGTGTCATACAAAGGCTGAGGAGCAGATTTGAAATAGTCAAAGACAGGATCAGTGGAATTGAAGACAAACACTTGGATACAACTCTGTTTGAGGAAAACTCAAAAAAAGAAAGAAAAATTAAGAGACCCTGAGAATTACGTGGGATACAATCAAAGGCAAAAATCTGCAAGTGATCAGAGTTCCAGAACAGGGGAAGAAAACAGAAAACACAGAGGATTACTGAAGAACTGCTGACAGAAAACTTTCCCAGTATCATGAAAGATGAAAAGCTGGCCATCAAAGAAGCTCAGTGAACCCCATATAGGATATACCCCAAAAGACAATCACCAACGCATATCATAATCACACTCGCCAAAACCAAAGACAAAGAATCTTGAGAGTAGCTCGAGAAAAACAAAAAGTCACATACCAAGGCGAAACAATAAGACTAAGCTCAGATTATTCGGCAGAAACCATGCAGGCAAGAAGGCAATGGGATGACATATATAAAACCTTGAAAGAAAAAAATT